CATCCATCCATCCATCCATCCATCCATCCATCCATCCATCCATCCATCCATCCATCCATCCATCCATCCATCCATCCATCCATCCATCCATCCATCCATCCATCCATCCATCCATCCATCCATCCATCCATCCATCCATCCATCATCTTTTAGCTCCAACTGTGCCACCGTGCTGCCCAAGTCAAACACACAAATATATTGTGAACCAGATTTCATTGGTTGACAAGAGCAGTCCCAGAAAATACACTTTTTTTTTCAAAAACAAAAAACATGTTCTATTCTGTAATTCAAGACATTTCACTTCCCAGATTCCCAGACCTTCTTGTACTGGGAAGCGAAACTACAACTACAAAATAAAAGCCCAGTTTTGTTTTTATTCATTTGATTTCTCACGTCTTGAGAATCAACATCACATTAACTGTGCAAAATGGTGACTTCACTGTCGAGAGGCATTTGCCATGCAACAAAGTTTATTTTAATTAATTATTTTAATTTATTACTTTCTGACCTCACACACACACACACACACACACACACCATCAAAAAACAGCTGAGGAGGAGTTTTACACAATTTGTTTCTGTGTTTCTGCTGGTTTCTTTTCTCTTTTTGATCTCTCGCTCATGTTCCTCTTTTACAACCTGAGACCATTTTGTTCTTTGGAGCGTTTACAAGCAGCTTGTACTGCGACCTTCAGCTGTCGCCAGTCAACAGGTGTTTGCGTGCCTGTGCATACGTCTTGCAGTTCAACTGCGAGTCTGTTGCCACACACGAAATGTTCTAGAAGCAGAGGGACTGGTATATGTGGGTGTTTGTGTGTTCCTTTGTATCAATACAAGCCTCTTTTAAATTGTGAAGCATAAAAATGGACTTACGGACTGGACTCGGGCATGCTCCATTTGAGTTCCCCAAATCTCCTCCAAGCAGAGCACCTAAGGTAGAAAAAAAACATGTAACACATAAAAACCATTAAAACAATCTCGTGTGAAAGAGTTTATCCGAGTAGCACTAATGTAAAAACTAAATCATTTGTTTTGAAAAATATAATTAAGTCAAGTACGTCATTATAAAAGTGCTCCTGCTATTGATGCTCATTTACTCTCTGAAGTGCCTTATAATTGGTTTCAATTCTGCACTTCCAGTTAACGTTAGGCAGAAGGTTTCAGCAGTTCTCAATGGTACTTACATACCAGAGATAATTCTGACATTTTATTTTAGAAAAAAAAATCTTCAAGTGTTTAAAAATGGTAATTAAAAACAAATGATTTGTTTTAAAAGTTAAAAACAGTAAGTGATATTTAAATAATGAACTTGTGTATCGCTTACGAGCTAAGATTAACACAAACCGTTTCACGGTGCAGTTAAAATTTTTTGTTTTTATTTATAATGTTTAAAATAAGACCCACCACTAATTAAAAAAACAACAACATTGATTTTAATGGGAAAACTGAAACTTATTCATAAACAAAATGATGAAACCACAAAACCATTAGGGCTAAAAGTGACAAAAAAGTAATCAAGTTGCAGATGAAAAACTTTTTGTAGATCCTACAGGTCAGTGGTTCTCAAACTGGGGTCCCCGGACCCCCGGGGGTCCACGAGCCGCAAAAACAATTTTTTATTTTATAAGCACGTAGATGTTTAATAACCCGTTAAAATACACCAAAATGCACGAAATCACATCTACTTTATTAAAAGTTTTCTGGGGGAAGACCCTCAAACCACCACCCCCATACATTTTAAAGCACAACTTTGGGAATGAGCTGACATGGGAAACAGTTGTACACAGATTGCCAAAAAAAAAAAAAAAGACTAATGTATTGATGTGAAATGTCAAAAGTAGTTCAATTGAACCCTACCGTTTTATTTCAGTTTTATTCAAGTTTTATGACCAGCAGTCAATTAACAGAAGTCATTTTAACTGAACTCCCTGTGTAGAATCAACGAGGCTGAGTCAAATGTGTGATTTTGATAATGTCTGTCTTCTATAAATCTTTGTTTAGCTACTAAAAAAACAACATCTGGTGCTCGCAGCTTTCTTTATTTTGCTCTAAGCCAAATGTTTTTGTCTAATTTATTAATTGTGAGAAGGCGCGGTAGCTCAGTGGTCAGTGCTGCGGTTGTTTAATCCTGAGGCTCCTGAGGTTTAATCTCTTGCTGTGGCGACATCCTGAAGAAGTGAGCAGCCAAAAAAGAAAGAAAGGGAAGATTTATTAATACATAGTAGAATTAATAAATATTTTCTTTCTTTCTATTCTGGCTGCTCACTGCTCTTATGAAAGCGTTTCGCTCTTTTAAAACAAACCCCGTTTGAGAATGGCTTTTTTGTTGTTGTTGCATTCTATTGCATTGAAACTCAATGTGTTGTTGTTGTTTATTTATCAAATGCAGGTTAACACAAAGTCAACAATGCAATGAAATGTTCAGGATGAGAAGAACCAATTTGACTCGCTAAAAACAAAAACAAAACACAAGAAATACAAAACTCACACAGAAATGCATCGTTATTACCATATATCGAATTGTTTTGGTTGCTGCTGCCCGTCTGTGTAACCAACTGGACTGGTGGCATTACATCGATTTCGTATGCATCATATTGACCACACAAATACTCAATCCTAGAAATACCACTGATTATTTTAATGACATCTTAACTTCCAGTCTAGCATGGCCTCCAGTGCTGCAAAATGAGTGATTTTTGAAATAATGTTTAAAAATGTGAACTAAATAAGTTCTCTAGTGGTTAAAAACCTCCACAGACATCTTTAAAGTTTTCCTTTTGGTTTGATGGCCCTCAACGTTACAACTTTTTTCATTTCAATAAGCACCTTACTAAGAGGAAAACACTCTTTAGATCTTTTGTACCTGCTAGATATTCAACTACACATCCATCATAGAGACTTCATACGGTATTACAGCATGTTTGTCAGAACTGTCAAAAACGTTGTTAGTAAATATCTAAATATATTAAAGCTTTAACACATTATTGTATAATGTTGCACTCTTTTCATTCATACAGAAAGACCAGCTCATTAAACACAATACTACAATAATGCACATTTATTTTCAGTATGCTCACTTTGCCTCAAATGCAAAGTCACTTCCATTTCCTTTGTTGGTGATTCTGATTTATTTCTAAACTGCTCTTTAGAAAAGCTATAACATTACATCTTTAGGACTTTTTGGAAAAACATCAATAAAGAAAACTAATTTGCCAAACACTTTTTTGGTAATTAAAACAATGGCAGAGCAGGCTACACTACAAGGTGTGGAAATAAAGTGGGAGCAGGCGCATCCATTACTGCTACAGGGTAAACTTCCACACCTCAAAGAACGATATATTATGAAAGAAGCTGTAATGCATTTGTTGCACGTTACATCACCTAATTCTGACTTACAATGAGATTACGCCGGTCGGAACAAAGCTTGATAAGTAACCCTGTCTGAGATGCATAAATGGGGCACAAATCCTTTTAGTCGGAGGGTGAAGGATTGGTTTGCCACACAGAGCAGTGTGTGCATGCAGGAGTGTAGCAGCTTGAGTCAAAGAAATGATGGATTTATGTTATTATGAGCTGCATGCACTTATTTGAGGGAGCAAGATCCCCAGACTGCGTGAACACGAAGGCTGGAAACAACATCAATACACAGACTCGCTTCTTTGGTCATTTTGGTGCTTTTCAACTCAAAAAAGTCTGTAAAAATCCCCGCTGTTACATAAACTGTGCTTCCACAGAAGGTGCACTTTATGAAAAAGGACTTTAAGTATCCACATCTCCATGACAACTGTGTCTGCAAAAGGTGGCTCAAATCATTTCAATTACAGAAGTCCGTTAGGAATCAGGACTTTGGCGTGCGTGGAAGACTGGTCTGCAAACTGATTGGTTTGGGAAGACAATGTCAAAAAGAACCATTTAGAAAATTATGACACAAACTGTATGAAAACTAGACAACACAGAGAGGCTGCAGCAAAAAAAAAAAAAAAAAAGTCAAAAGGTTACATGGGAGTTTGAGTCTTATTGCTGACAGTCCTGACTGAGTTTTGCTGAAGAGGATGTGTATCTATACTGAGTGATTTATTTTTTATTAAACTGATGGAGTCAATGACTTAACTAAAATCTTTAAACAATTAAACAATGGTAGTTTTTTGAACGAACTTCATTTAAAAAGGGACAATGTACAACTCAAACATAAATGTTACCATTTAATGCACTGTACCAGATTATAGCAAGAGCTAATTCTCATCTGCAGTCCCAGATAGTTAATCTAGCTACCTAATGGTAGCCAATGGTGTGCCACATGGCTCAGTTTTAGGACCCACTCTTTTTACAAGTTATATAAATAATGCAGGTCAAAAGGTCTGCTCCTACAATCTGGAACACCTTGCAACAGGAACTGAAGTTGTCCACCTTGATTTCTTTAAGGGGTTTCAAACATTTGATAATGGAATCATCAATAAATGGAAAAAAATCAAAGCAAATATGTTCTTGTTTTTAGTATTTCAACCTGTTTTACAGAACCTTGATTTATTGTTTTATACACTACTCTTATTTTAACTGCATTTTTAATGTAGTTTATTGTTGTCATTGTTTACTGTTATTGTTGTCTGTATGTTACATGTTCTGTCTGGAACAGGTCCCTCTTGTAAATAAGTCCTCATGGCTAAATGAGACTAGCCTGTATAAATAAAGGTTGAATGAATGATAAGAGGTTTCCACAGAAAACAACACTTTTTCATTCAACCTTTATTTATTATAGACTTAATAAATATTAACAATATAGATTATTTAATCTACACTGAAATGTGAGCATCCTCAAATACTTATCAACAAACTAGTTGTGGATAGCAGTCTAGCTAATCCATTTTTCCCTTTAAAAAAGTTCAAAAACTTGCAGTTGCTGTTTTTAACTCATCTGGTGCCGTGCAGTACAGGATCTTTTACGCAAAGGATTACGGTAAATATTTTTAAACCATCCAGCTGAAAGGCTACATTACATCAGAGGAATCAATCAAGAGCAATTATTGAAACAGGGTGTTTACTTATCTGAAAAGGCCACAGGTTATGGATTAGCACGACTACAATTGAGCTGTGAGGAGACAGAAAACCCAAAGCATTCCAGCTGTGTTAACCGTGGTCTGTTACCTGCGCTGGCTGGTCGCTGTGGTAACCCCGGTGACACGGTGTTCCTCTGCAGAGCTGGTTGCTGTGGTGATAGGAGGCGGGGATCTGTGAGGGTGGAGGTGACAAAGGAGGTGGTGGTGACCAGGGCGCCGGCAGGATTGTTGCTGAACTGGAGGGCCGCTGCGTTCTGATTGGATACGGGAACTGTGACTGGCATGGAGAAGGTTGGCTGCGGGACTGTAGACTGGCAGAGATACAAGAAAAACACGGCGCTTAAAACGAGGCCCATGTTTAATCCCATATATATTCATTTATGAATGAACAGGTGGTCAGTTAGTCATCAGCAGCAGAGTGAACAAGCCTGAAGGTGACAGACACAGTCACAACACAAACCAACCACAGCAAGAAGAGTTCTTTCCAAAATGAGATTAAACTAATTAAAATATTCCTAAATCAAACTGTCATGCTATAATATTTTGGCCCATTTGTTCTAATAACGACTATCCCATGTAAAAGTAAAAAAAAAAAAAAAAAGATTGTAGAATTTCCACTAATATACAGAGATACAAGATACAAACAAACAAACATAAATAAATAAGGACCTTTTCTATGTAGGGATTTACTAATAGTTTAAACATTATAGTTTTAAGTTTTTAATTCAATTCAATTCATTTTTATTAGTGATATTACGCAGGTGGAAGAAGGCGACTCTAGTAACATTTTTAATGTGATGATAAAAGACGTGTCTTGATCAAAAATAACACCAAGATTTTTAACATTAGAACTGGGGGGGGGGGGGGGGGTTAATGCCATCCAAGGGGGGTGAAAGACTGAAAAACTAATTCCTAAGATGCTCAGGTCCAAAACCCAAAACCTCAATCTTGTCGGTTTAAAAGCAGAAAATTAAGGATCATCCAGGTTTTTATGTCTTTAAGACATGCTTGTAATCTAAGTGATTGGATTCATTGAGTTTAATGGACAAATATAACTGAGTATCATCAGCATAAAAATGAAAATTTATCCCATGCAGTTTAATAACTTTGCCTAGTGAAAGCATAAGTAAAGAGGTCCAAGCACTGAACCCTGAGGAACTCCATGACTAACTTTGGTGTAAGGAGAAGATTCATTATTTACATTTACAAACTGGAATCTATCAGTTAATTATTTAAAGCAATTTAGAGCCGTTCCTGTAATCCCAATATCATATTCAAGCTTCTGTAGTAACATTTTGTGATCAACTGTCTCAAATGCAGCACTGAGGTCTAACATGACGAGTGTAGACACCTGTCCGTTGTCAGAGACCATGAGAATATCATTATTTTTAAAATGTCTATTTCATGGTAAGTTTGTAGGAAAATAACAGATAGAAGCTTTTTGGGTACTGAAAAATGAATATGTACATAGAAAAACAAAGTGTGGAAAGACAAAATTTAACAAATCAACCATATTCAACTTTATTTAGTGTAACATTGTTTTCATTTTCAAGCTAATTCTGGTTGAGGCATAAAAAATACACACACATACCGGTACACACAAAAAGCTCAAATACAGGCATAAAAATGCCTTGATTGTTGAATTCTAAAACAAATGTATATAAACAGTATTAACGAAAAGGATTATTAATTATTCTAAAGACTGAACTTAAAAAGTCTTAAAGTTTTCACCCAAATAAATGAATGTTTTTACATCAACACAAATTACAGTTTTTTTACATTGAAGAACACCCATTTTGAGACGATGCTCAAAATTTGGGAACTATATTTTTCAGTTTTGTCATTAAGATGTGAAAATTACCCTTTTGATCAGTAATACTGAACAATTTTATTTTGTGTGAAATATTGATCAAAATGCACCATGACACATGTAGGATTTTATTTTTTTCCGTTTTTACTAACAAAGACTGCACGAGCTGACCTTTAAAGGAAAGAATTTGGAAATAAACTCTTCAAACACACAAACGCTCATCTCAAATCCCTCTCTGACACAAACACTCACTCAGTTTAGGCATGCAAAGTGACTTAGTGGAAAAGCTGTGCCACCTTTCCCGTTTCATGCCAAGTTAAAACTCCAGTCGCAGCAGCAAGTTATTGAATTCAGTAATTGGTGACATTTGAGTGCATGCGTTTCACATTCCAACAACATCCCTCATCGAATTACGTTACACTGTCTACCTTTATCTAACACATGGACAAACAATAAACAATCATCTCTTAATAAAAACATAAATGTAACCAAACCATCATGATAAAACTAGTTGACCAAACTGCACAGAGTGCTAAGAAGAAAAAAATTAAAGTAAATAATAAAAACAAGGCCAAGGACCTGAGGGTGTCCAGTCACACAAACTATTTCATCGCGCTTCAACTCAATCTGAAATAAGGACTTCTATAAAAGGAATATGGGCCAGAGCTGCTCTGCACTGCACTCATCCTGCCTGGGACCCAGTTTTACACCAAGAAGGACAAGGGCATCTTTCTGCCCTTGATCTCAACCTCTTTTATATCAACACTTTTCATTTTGTTGAAGCAAGAAAGAAAGTCCAAGAGTAAAAAGACAGATTCAAGTCTCCACTTAAACTTAAGCTAATGCCATATTGTTTGGATACACTTTATTTTAACAAGTATATAACTTAACAACACTTGGCTATTATTATGTTTCTTATTAGAAATAAAAATAACATTTTCTATATTTCTAAGACAAGAAAAACAATCAGTAAATGACAATTTGTGGTCAATAAAATCGATAACTGTGAAATTGTAGTTCTGTTTAAAGATTGTGTACAGGAAATGTTGAGGGTTGACAACTAAATTAAATCATAAAAAGACTTCCAGTTGTCTGAGAATGATACATTTACCTTTAGACTATGAGGAAGAAGTAAAGATGGCGTGCTAGCTAGAGCTGGAAGTGCTGATCTGTGATGGTGAAGTTAGCAGCTAGCAGCACTGCACACTGGCCAAGCTGAAGGTAAAGGGGGAGGGATGGGATTAATGGTGTGGGTGGACGGGTGGGTGGGGTTAATATACGTAGAGGGTGGAGATGAATAAACGAAGAGGCAGAACTGATTTATTTCCACTGGAATGAGTGGGCGAGGGGGTGTTTTTCCTCACCTTTCTGTGTAAACATCCTTACACATTTCACCATCACTAACAATGAAATAAATTAAAAAAAACAATAGAATGGGATTTTTTTTATTTAGTTTGTCGACTAACTTGCTTAGGCACATAATTGAAGCTACAAGAATTATTTTGTGTTTATGTTGGGCAAACGTATACAATAGAAAGATGCAATGCAAGAGTGTAAATGCATCCTTTATTAGAACTTTTTATATGAAGAAATATAAATTAAAATCAAAAGAGTCTAATTTATTCATGAATAAGTTGCCTTTATTTTAAAATTCACTCAGGGTGACTTTAGATTTGGAGATGTACTATTTAAAGTACTTTTACTCACGCCTCAACAATCTGTGAACTCACTTTGTAAGAAACCCACCAGTGAATGTTCCGGCATTTTTATCTGAAGCTCTGTGGTTTTAATGTTAATTCTACTTTTATTTGAAGATTTTATTCGTGCTTTGTTGAGTCTTAACTTTCACAATCTGTTCGTTTGGACTTTTGACGTGCAAAAACAGGAACAAGATCTCGGGGATTGCCAGGATGTGCAGCAAAACTGCTGGCATAGCCCTACAGAACCTCACTGACCTACACAAGACGAGGTCAGTGAACAAGGCCAGGCTGATTCTGGCAGATCCTGATCATCCTCCATGGTGAGTTCAGGTTGCTTCCATCTGGACGCAGGTATCTGCTGCTCAGATGTAGAATGAACAGAATGAAAAACTCATTCATCCCTGCAGCAATCAGGCCTCTCAACAAACAGTGATGATTTCTGTTATTTTAATGTCTCTATGTCTTGTATGGATGTTTTGTGTGCTACTGACTGTAAACAAATTGCCCCTTGGGGATGATAAAGATTCTTGAACTTGAATCCCACTGCTCTTTTCAGATTTAGTTTATTCTTCTTCCAAAAACTCCCTGAAGGTACCAGCTCCTGGTCACTAAGATATTTGGTGCCATAACTCCAAAACCTCTTTGGTGTTTCTGTTAATGCAATGTTAAAATTAATCTTTAACCTGCACTGCAGTGTTTAAAGAAGAATTTGTAAATGACTTCACGTCTTCCTATTTCACATCAATGCTCCTGATTGATTAGAGGAGGGATAAATGGATGCAGTTCATCATATTGCACATTTATCAAGAAGGATGGGAAAGAAGACAAATAAGATCCTGCTGGGTAAATAATTGACCAGCAGCTTTTCTAAAGGCCTTTTTGATACAGCTCAAGGTCTCTTCTGTGAGAAAAGAACAAAAAGTGGGGGGGAATCTAGCTTACTTCCCCTCAGAGAAGCTCTTTCTCAACAAGGCTTCTTCCTGAATGCCAGGGTAAATCAGAATGAATTAAACTCATGCCCTAGTTTCTCTTTGATTCCCTTTTGTCCTGAAAAAGCTTTGGGAAATTTTAAAGAAATATATTTTTTCCTTTCAGCCTTTATATAATGAATTCTATTTGGTAGTTGTGGCATTCGAGCCGTAGACGCAAAATGGGAAAACTGTTCTACGTCACCGCAGTTCTGCAGCAAATCTGTATTTATGTTTACTTTGATAAATCTTCAACTTGACTGTTTACAAAACCTCTTAAAAAGTTTAGGGTTCAAAGTATAAACCCCTAAAAGGCAGTTATAAAAGGATATTACAATGTTTTTTACCTTCCGTAAATGTGTAAAAACATGATCAAGCTGCAACCTATTGCATAGAAATAATACAAATATTTGCATTGCAACTGTTAAGTGTAACTTAAAAACAAGTTTATTAATAATAATTAATAATAATCATCATCATCTAAAAAACTAAACTCCTGTGCAGTAGTTTTAGCAGCACCGTGATTTGACGTTATATTTATACGAAGCTTGTACTGAGACAAAGCATCCATTGCTCAGGGGCACCATGGAGGCAGTTGTTAAAAAGGAAGAAATATATTTCTTATTCAATTTCCCAGCCCGAAATCCCAGAACCAGAGAAGGATCAAACCAAAGACCCTCCGGTGGAAAAACAAAAATGGACCTCTTTATTTTCCTCTACCACAGCAGCAGAGTAACGAGAAGAGTAAAGTTGGGGGCTCGTCGAGCCAAGTGTCCTGCCCGTTCTGCCTCACCACTCCCCCCGCCTCAGGAGGCATTTTAGTACAAGTGGGATTAAGCGTGTATATCCCAGCCCCTAGCTGTCATGCAGGGGATTATGTTAAAGCATGGAGGAGTGGCGGGTGGTGCAGTCTGCTTCCGTTTGCTTGCTGCCAGTGAAAGGTGAGCTGGGAGGACTGGGCAGGTAGGCAGAGACACCGAGGGGCAATATTACAGTGAGGATGCAACACACCAGAGGAGTTTGGCCAGAATCCAGTGAACGTGCACACGAAGCTGTGGTTTGTTTTTTTTCCTCTTTCTTCTCCATCATGGCTTCCTCTTTGTTAAAAAAAAAAAAAAAAAAAAAAAAACCTTTAAGAGTCATTTCAGCTCAGAGAGGCCGGGTCAAACTAAGGACAGAGATTTATTGAAGTAATTAAACTGAAAGGTGGCTTGATTTCCCCGTTAAACCTGCTCTGATATAAATAAAGTAAGCACCAACAGCTGAAATGCTTTCACAAAATAATGTTCCAGCTTTGTGAAAATTACAACAAAACCAGGAACTGATTAATACAAGGACTACGCATTCAGCCGGTAAATGCTCTAATTCCTTAAAGCAGTTGTTGAGGAAAAGGTCAAACGCAAACACGTCTCTGAAGGTAACCGTACTACACAACACGGCTGCGTAATTCACGAAGCTACCAACGTATTGGGCGAGGGAAAAGGAACATTTTGCCTCCTCTACATAAAACACCCCGATTGTAAATTTTCTGAAAATTTGCAGGCTAACTGGCACAGGCACCTAAATGTGACTGTGTCCCATCCCAAGTGACCAATCAGACACGCCAGCAGTCAGGGAGAGGGGCTGTAAATTAAGAGCTCCTCATTAAAGTGACATTAATTGCATTATTGAGCACGAAAGGAAAAAAAAAAATGAATCTCAGAGAAATTGGCTACGGAGCAGAGTGGTAAAAAGAGTCTGGCAGAGTGCCAGTCAGAGGGCAGAACCTGGAGAGTATGAGGAGCAGATCTACCATGACACCCATCTGACCTCTGTAATACTCTTAACATCACACAGATAATAACCGCACCCTGGATTTTTAAGCTCTGATCTGCACTCGCACGATTCTTCCTTTGATATTGCTAAGTATTACACAATTTGTATTTCCAGGCAAGCAACCCAACTGCTTCGAGGCATGCTCTAACGTGTTTACCATTCTCATAAAAAATGATTTCCCCTTCCATTTTGCAGTTGCTATGCCAACTTTTTGAAAAATCTAGGGACGCAGTTAACGTTTCTCACTTTTTAGTGTATATTATGGTTTCGTGAAGCTGCAGAGGCATATAAACAGTTTATTATGGCGATAACAGTCCTTAAGATTCTCTCCACTGTGGTGACTTGATGCAAATAATCCTATTAGAGCATGTGGTATTTGGTGTTGTGCTGCTTGTTTTACGACTTCGTTTCATCTAACCGCCAAATTCACACATGAGCAGTAGTGCAAAGAAATTAAGTTTTATTCTAACGGAAAGTCTGCTCATCATGCAGCGTTTCTGATCCGCACAAGACATTTGCAAAAATTGGAGTGGTCTCTACTTAAACAGTATCTAAATTTACAATAAAAACATTTGAAATTTAAACCAAACTTCCTTTTCAAGTTGAGAAAGTGAAAACTAGATTTTGATTTTTCTCCTTTACGACTGAACTTGTGACGTCTTGTTTTTAAACAAATTTAAAAAGATGCATCAAGTTCAGTTGTGTGAACGTTTATGAAGCAATCACACTATTGTGATCCATTTTGCTTCCGTACGTTTTTCGGCAGTTTTCTCGTTCAACAATTGTTGTGCGATTTCAATATCAAAACATTCAGCTCGTTCAGGAGAAGGGTGCAATGACTTTTGGTATTGGTGTAACTTTAGCTTTTTGAAATATTTAGCCTTTTCTGACACTTTTTTTTTCTCAAAGAAAATTAATTTAACTCATTTTACATCCTTAAAATCTTTAGATCCGTTTACAACCTTTTACTGCTCCTTTCACATTTTGTTCTGGTTCAGCTTCTTTCAGCTTTCTTGTCAAAATTAAAACTTTTTTTCAGCTCCTTTCAGCTAATTTTAGCTGAGTTTTTTTCAGCTGTTTTGTGCTCCTTTCAGGTTCTTTCTGCTAACTACAACATTTTGGGCTTCTAACTTCTTACTGCTAATTTCAGCTTGTTATGCTCCTCTCCTCTTTATGCAAGTTTCAGGTTTTTCTGCTATTTCAGCTACTATTTAGCTGTTTTCATTCAAAATTTATCTTTTTCAGCTAATTCCAGATTTTTTTTGCAGTCATTTAAACTTTTTTTTTTTTTTTACTAATTCAGCTAAAATGTGCTCTCTCCACATGTTTCTGGTAATTTAAGCTTCTTTCTGTTTTTAGCCACTATTCAGCTTTTTTTTTTTTACAAATTTCTACTTTTTTCAGATAATTTCCTTTGTTTGTGCTCATTTCTGCTTTGTTTATTCTAATTGGGCACAATTGTGCTCCCTCCACTTCCTTCTGGTAATTTAAGCATTTTTCTGCCTTTTTAGCTACTTTTCAGCTATGTTTAGCCAATTTCAGCTTTTTTTTTTTTTTTTTTAGCTAATTTACTAATCTTTGTACTCATTTCTGCTTATTTAAACCAAATCCAGCAAATATGTGGTCTTTCTGCTTTCTTCTGCCAACTTGGGCTTGTTTTTCCATTTCAGCTACATTTCAGGATGTTTTTAGCTAATTCCAGCTGTTTTTCAGCAAGTTCTTCAGAAATAAGCAATCACACTGCATTTTTGTAGGAAATCCAATTTCCCTAGTTTGACATAAATTTTCTTTTGACTCAAGTCAATCTGCCTTGGGTTTTTCAGGAACACGCTGATGGTGGAGGCGTGGTCTGTGGGTAGTGCTTTTAAAGGTGGAAATATGTGGTGTTGCCAAAAGGTGAGGGTAGGAAGGTAAGCGGGTGGGGAAATGGTGAAGGCAAGTGCTCTGTGAGTAATCAGACCGCTATCAGCAACCGGAAAACTTGTCCGGTCAGCAGCAGCAGCAGCAGTAGCATTGGGTGGGGAGGGGGGGCAGGGTTGCACAGAATGGTGGGAGGTACTCACTGACAGCCTATAGTTCTGCATCATTTTATCAAACTCCTCGTCAATTTTTTTGTATTTCTCTTCAGTGCGGGGGGTGAGAGAGAAGGGCTCCTCGGGGTCTGGACTCTCAGAGTCACGGTGCTCTTTCTTGTTCAGAGCCTTCGTTGCCCAAATGAAAAAAAATAAAAGAAAGAAAGCACAAAGAGAGAGAAAAGGGTAGACAGAGAAAGAAGAGAAGAAGAACAGAAAGAGTATGTTAGATAAGGTGACCAAAGTGTGATGGTACTCACGCCGATGCGTTTGAAGAGGCTGTCCAGGTCCTCTGTCTTGCGGTCATTTAGCGGACTTTGGTCGATGGAGTCATCGCCATCAGGCTCAGGACTGTTGCAACCATTAAAGCCTTTCTTTCGCAATGTCTAAAGCAGTTAGAGAAGAGTAGAGGAGGAGAAAAAGGAGGGAAATTTACATTTCATTTTTTGTACACTTTTCACCCCCGTCTTTAACTCTCCACCTCTGTTTTTTTAAAACCTGCTAGGTAAAACCATCTTCATTACTCAAACACAAATGAACATCTTGATTGCACCATGTGCGCCGACTCCCACACTGTTCACCGGATTAAAAAATGAAGCCGTTAGGGTCAGATGAACAGTTTGACACAGATGACGAGTTTGAATCAGATTTTTTTTTTCTGGAGGCACTTTCCATAAATTATAAAATAACCTCTGATAATCCACAATTGATTTCTCAGGTCAACGATAGTAATATCTTCCACCCACATGAAAGCAAGTTATTACCATTGGGACTACGTTTGCTCAAACAGAAAGTGATCTGTAGAGGTACTTTCTTACAAAAGGTGAAGAAAGTAACGATTCCACTTATTAGCTAAGAAAGATTTGAAATGAAATGGTGTGGCCGATGAAAACAACCCGTTATCTTTACAAAACGAGGTACACAAAGACGAATACTCAGTTTGAATACTGCCCTGCATGTCAGACGACACTTCTGCATCTTCCAATCAACAGTGTTTGTACTAGTAGCGAGGTTTTGGGTTCACAAACAGTAAAGGGAGAGCCAGGAACCACACAGTGGCGTTAGCACCACAGCTAACGGCTGCCAAGTTGTTCAGTGGCGGCACACATTGGAAACGGTTGGAAGAGAAAGACGGAGGATGAGGAGAGCGGCAGATAGAGAGGCTCTTATTTTGAGAGGATTCTGCTAAACAAGATTTGCTGTTAAGTAGCTTTTCTTGGTGGGCCCTTGACCATAGAGCCAAGCAGATAAACCCTCACAGAAAATGGATCTTAGACTAAAGCTGGAGACTCTTCTGTGGTCCGAATATGAGCCGTTGCCCAGTGAAGTCCAGAGTAATGCCAAAAGGAAAAAAAAAAAAATCCCTTGATGTGAAATTGGAAAAACCTATAATAAACTGTGTGGGGAAAAATCCTATTAAGCTACCATGCCACCCATCAGCTGTTTAAAACATTTTTTATAAATGGCCGTCTATTGCGGAACAAGGAATCTCATTTGCATTTTACCCAATAAAATAGGACAACTAGAAGATGTAAGATTCTGACTCAATAAAAACATGCAAACTAAAGACACAAAAAGGTGACGATTTGAAATTTAGAGCTACAGCAACGTTCTGAACAGATAAAACAGTCGCCTGATAATCAGTGGTTTGAGAGGAATTTAAGACCCGTTTAAACAATAATGACAATGACTTTCAGAAATCAAGGACAGAGTGAAATATTTCCAGAAAATAATAAAAAATAAAAATGAATTGGGGTTAAATGAAGAGCACCCTGATTGACCAAACAATGTTTGGGCTACCCTCACAGTCTACTCCTGTATTGGAGGCTGCATTTGACAAATAGTAAAAATATAATAAAAAAAAAAATCTAACAAGTTTCCAGTGTTTGTAGACTTTTTATAAAAATTGACAAATTTTCAAAAAATAGTTAAAAGTATTGAACTAGTGTTATTGTCTGGGTGTGCATCAGTATGCACAGGCTTGGAGACCAGGAAAACTAGGAAAAGGGTGAGAGGAGACGTTTTACATGCAGCTTTTATAGATTTTCTTTCCCACTTTTAACCTTTTGCCAGTGTGCATCGTGATTGAAACATGACAATACATTTTAAATAGATAAAGCAACATTTGGTTTACATGATCTGAATACTGTGTACATGATTTATTTGAAGTAGAAGCCAAAGTGTTTTCAAGCTAAATTATTAACTGAAACCCAGTGACATAGAAAACTTAAGTTTAATGCATTTTAATTAAAAAATAAATGGACTTTTCGGTTGAAACAAACTATTTTCCCGATCGTATTCAATATTTCGCACGCTGTATATGTTCTTTAATGAAAAACCACCTGATGTCAGGTGTGATTGAAGCCAAGCGGCGGGTCTGATTAAAACAAAAGCACTGGTTTTGTGACTCCTGCTGCGTACGATCACTGCTAAGTGAAAATGACTCAACTGCAGGCAATTCTGCCTCAGAAGTGGAGCTGGAGGAAACTTGTACCTGAAGACAAAACCCTGCAGTTGTACAAAAAAATACAGACTTGTTTCATTGCAAATGAATTAGCCTAAAATGCTCGGAACAGGTAGGGGCAAAAGGGTAATGATGTCATTTGGATGAAAGAGTAACAAGACTTCTGGTGTTAATAACAATGGTGCTCTTTGATACGAGTCTCATTAAAACTCAAAGCCGTTATTATCATCACAGTGTCAAAGCTGCGTTTTATCTACCCACAGAAACAGGTTATTAGAAAGATTTGTTCAACACAAAGACAGGCTCCTGATTCTGCTGTTTAGTCTCAGCAGAACAAACCAGCACTCTCATCTACAGCTTAATGCAAATGTAACACGCAGGAGCTGCCACCAAACGCTTTGTTGTTCACAGTTTGTGAAAAACACTCTCTGCTGAAGAGAATTGCATGTGCTCTGACCTAGAAATTGAGCGAATAAATGAACCACTGGGGAAAAAGGAAATATAATGGAAATGAAACAGCTGAAGATGAGAGCATGTGATGGAGAGTGGGTGAAGGACATGATCGAGGTGTGGACGCGCACCCCCCCGCCGCCCCGACTGTCCGGATGCAAAGAAATATAAAGCCTGCTAACAAAAACGTGATAAGGAAGTTGTTTCTCTGCTCACATGCAACAATACAAATTCATATATTTATTTTGAACATTACAGTCAAAAGGCTGCAATTAGCATGTCCTAAAGTTATGCAATATTCTAAATGTTTCTAAACTCTCTAAGAGCACAGAATGTCATGATTTCAGCTCCCTGCCTCCGCTGCACTCAGCCACCTGCAAGCGTTCTTGGCCACACCCACTTCTCCGCTCTGCACAGAGAACAGCTGATCAGCTGCAGCAGGAAGCTTATCCTGCAGTGTGGGCTGCACAAAGGTGCAGCAGGTGCTAAACGATTTAAAATAACATATTTTAAATAATATTCCCATGCCGATCGTGCGGCTCGTCCATCAATCAGCCAATTGTGTGTCGTGTCTAATCTTATTTTGAAAAACCACGATAGAGCGAGTCCGCGATAAACGAACCGCGAAGTAGCGAGGGACTACTGTATTCCAGAAGAACACAAACAAACAGAAGCAGAGACAGGTCTGCGTTGTACAACACGCAATGAAAGATGGACTTTTATTTTATGAAATCAAAATTGCACTCAATTAACATCAGTTAAGTGAAAGGCTTTGAGGGTTTCACCAACATTCTTGGAGAACTTTTAGAGAGTTGCAGGAAGAAAGCTCTTTGCGTTGTTAAAGACTCCTCTCAGTCCTCCTACTGATACCCAGTTTCTGACGGAGAACATCACTCAGATCAAAAGATTCATTTCACAGGTGAATAAACTATTGTTTTATTTTCACTGTATTGTGTTTTCTTCTTTCGCTGCTCCCGTTCTTCAGGGGCCGCCACAGTGAACCAACTCGTACGAAGACTTGGCATTTATTTTTTACACCAGATGCCCTTCCTGACACAACTGAGCTACAACAGCCCTTTGGGTGGAGCAGAGAGCTGCCATCTAGGGCACCCAGGGGAGCAGATGGTGGGGGTTAAGGGCCTTGCTCAAGGGACCAAAGTGAGGGAAATGAGGGAGGCAGGCATGGGTCCTTCACCTTTCCCACCCACACTTTGATGGTGTCGGTTCAAGGAGTCTAACCACCGCCCTTCCGATCACGGGCTCACCTTCTCTAACCTCTGCAGCACCACACCCCCATCTTCACTGTATTGTGTTACACAGCAGAAATGATCATTTAAAATACTTAAAACAAAATAAAATTAATTTTAAGTCAAACAAATGTTTAATAAGTCTTTCAGATGTGTATCAGTCAAAGTAGTAATTCAAGTATTTGAGCAACTTGCCAGAGAGTATCCAGAGCAACGGAATAAACGATAAATAATTATGTAAAGAAAAATCCTGGAAAACCCAATTTTTTGCAAATGACAACATTTTTTTAATTATTATTGAAATCATTATCCAGGTGCATTATCGCAGGTCTTCGCACCACAACTACAAATGCTGACTCACAAACCATCCATTTAGACGTCGGTGTGAATTTTTATTGTCATTATTGTGCCCACCATAAAATAATGTATCACCGTTTGTTTTGACTAATATGGAAATACAGAAAACGTTCATCACGTTTTCCTTGAAACTCCCACCTCACACTCCCATGGGGAGTGGTGGCGCAGAGGTTAGAGAAGGCGAGCCTGTGATCAGAAGGTCACCGGTTCAACTCTCCAGACTGACAACATCAAAATGTGGGTGGGAAAGGTGAAGCACACAAACCTGCCACCACCCTCATTTGCCTGGGCCCCCAACCCCCACCATCTGCTCCCCTGGGTGTCCCAGACGGCAGCCCTCTGCTCCACACAGAGGGTCGTGGTAGCTCGGTGGTCTGTGGTTGCGTCAGGAAGGACAGCCGGCGTTAAAACAATCCCCAAGTCTTCGTGCGAGTTAGTTCGCTGTGGCGACCCCTGAAGGAGCAGCTAAAAAAAACATTCATCACAGTTTCCATGAACTGTCAAACTAAATGTCACCAAGAAGAACGTATTTTCTGTTACTGACAAGCCAAACACTTTTTGTGCACACGAGTGGCATGAAGCATTCTGTATTCATTAAATATGATTTTATGGAGACCTTAATAAGGAATGCAAAAAACAAATAATTTCAAGCGAATACCTATAACATTTTCTAAACACTTTAATCTATTCATATTTTCATAACATGATGCCATAAGTATTAGGCTTGGTTGTGCTGTTCCACTTCCTGCCAGCTACAAATTAAATCAGTGTAATTGCATTAATATTACCCATAGCAACACGAGGCGTGACCCAATTATATTAAACTCAGGGTGGTCACTGCGGATCTATTTATTTTTCAGGAGTTTGA